AAACAAAAAAGACTAATCCCTACCAGGGTTGTGATGGCACATGCATGTAACTCGAGCTGACATGGAAGCCAAGCCTTGAGGGTCACAAATTTGAGTCTAGCTTCACTAACCTGGGAAAACCATATCTCAAAGAAAAATAAGAATGGGATGAAGATAGAGCTTACTGGTAGACCATACCTAAGTCCTGTCCTCAGGATCACATGGGAAATTTTAATTCCTATCTTTCTTCTATGAGTTAAGGTCACCACAAAAAAAGGTGGCTTAGGGATAATGGAATATTTTATAAAATCAAGCCATGTTAAATGTTCAAGTGTTCACATTTCTTGAAATATTCCCAAGTATTTTGCTTTTGATATTATGGTAATTAGAACTGTCTTTAATTTTATGTTTGCTACTTATTTTCTTATGCACATAAATAACTGATGATATTAAATTTTATTACTGTACTGAGCTCATCTGTTGCTTCTAATAGTAATTAGTGAACTCCTACATCAAAAATATCCACTTAAAATACACTTCTACCTCATACCTCATTTTGGAAAACCACAAAAGTTAGCAAGAAACATAAGTAAGTTGCAATACACCTTTGACAAAGGCAAAGATGCTGGTGAGAATCTCAGAAAAACTCTATTCCCTAAAAGTCAGAAACCAAGAGAAAAAGACCATAATTTCTCTCACATACATGATTTTATTCTTCTATTACTGAATAAAGTTCCATTGTGTATATACAATGCATATTTTTTATCCATTCATCCTCTGAAGGGCATCTAGATTGGCTTCACATGATATCTGGATCAAATGGTGGTTCCATTGTCAGATTTCCAAGGAATTTCCATACTGCTTTCCATATTGGCTGCACCAATTTGCAGTCCCACCAGCAGTGTATTAGTGTGCTTTTTCCTCACATTTTAGCCAACACTTTTTATTGTTTGTTTTCATAATAGCTGCCATAATAAAATTTTTATTATACTAAAATTGACACACACACACACACACACACACACAAACACACACTCAGTTTTTGCTTTGTTGTCTCTGGACAAGATCATGTGGAGTAGGAACTTACAAATACGATGTCATCCTCCTGCCAGTTAAGAGTAGCAATTGGTTAATGGGCAGGCTTCTGGAACTACGCACAGCATCTCCCATAAACTTGAGGAGCAAAGAGGGTGTGAGGCCTAGAGATGTCAGAGAAGCCTCACTGTTTTTCTACTCCCTTCTTGATAGTGATTTCTGGCCCAATAAACTTTGCTCTACTTTGATTACATTTCATGTATTATCTAAAATCCATTCTTGCAAGAACACAAGGGGCAAGAAACACAACATGACCTCCATATCCCTGGGATCCCAACCAGCTACAGTGTCAGATCTTTTATTGCTTTTCTTATTTACTCACTTTATTTGATCAATTTATTAATACAGGTGGGCAGCAGCCACTGCTCTAAGTCCTGTTAGAAGGTAACAGTCACATACCTACACACAGCATCCTAAGGGGAGACTGTGGAAACAGGAATTCTGACCCTTCATTGTTCATGAAGACTCACCCAGCATCAGAAATTTGAATATTTTACTTTGAGGCAGGGTCTTGCTATGAGGCCAACTGTGGCCTCCGACTTGATATTCTCCTGAAATAGCCTCCCAAATCCCTGGCCTTAAGGACATGTGCTACCAAACCTTGTCCTTTATTAAAAAAAAAGTGCATAGCTGCTGGTTAACTCCCTCCAGTAATATATGTGACATCAGACCCCCAAAAATAAAACCCCCAGAAAATTCCAAAGCTCAAGTCTGACTCTGTCTGTGAGAGGTTATGTGATTTGAAGGGATTCCAGGGAAAGAGGGACATCAGCTAAGAAAAAGTAGGTTCCTTGGTTTTAATGGCAGAAAAAAACTTCATTTGTCAGGCGCATGGATACAACTATTTAGAAAAGCAGATAGACATTCAGGAAAGAACGTGAGGAGCTGGGAATTCAGTGAAGTCGGTAGCATGCTTGCCCTGCATGCACAAGGTCCCAAGTTAAATCTCCAGCACTACAAGAAAAAAGATAGGGAAAAAATGTGAGTAAGCCCTAAAGAGAGAGACAGCAAATACGTCGTCTGAGGTGTTGCTATTTGGAGAGGGACATTTAAGTGGGGCTAGACTAGAGATGGGGCCAGATCAGACTTCTGTACTTTCTCACCCATTTTTCTAAGCTTGCTCACATCTTGCTCGTATTTGGGGGTACAGGAAGCTTTTCTAGGAGAAATGCTGCATTGCAGAGAGTTGCTTTTTTTTATAAATCGGATCTTTATTTTTAAAAATAGTTTTTAGTTGGACAGTATACCTTTATTTTATATATTTCTATTTAATGTGGTGCTGAGGATTGAAACCAGTGCCTCACAGGTGCTAGGCAGGTGCTCTGTCCCTGAGCCAAAACCCCAGTCCCTTGTGTTTAATTTCAAATATTTTGTGGGCATTCCTGCATTCTGGTGATTTATGAATCTTTTCCTTTGAGGTTCAGAGTAACATTCTTCTTGGTATCCCATCTTTGCTGTCTCAACCAGAGGAGTTCCACAGTTCTTTATGGACCTCAAGTGTTGCTAGAGGAATGATTAAATGATCATTTAGTTATCAAAGCACATAGGGTGGTGTTTTCAGGACAGAATTCTTAAAAAAATGTTCATTATTAGATTTCTATTTTTACTTATGTATTTAGCCATGGACTCATATGGATTTGCAGTGATCCACAAATCAGCAGATTTCAGAAACTTTTCATGTTGACAACTCTTTTCAAATTGTTTCATTCAGACTGAAACACATTTGACCCAGTGTAAACATTAAGATGCTTTTAAAATGCTCAAAAATTTTCCTGGCTAGAATACTGCAAATGGTTTTTCCAGTATTCTTGCCACTTTGTTTATCTCATTGGTGTTGAGAAACTTCTGAGATGAAAGAAATGCACCCCAGAGGCAAGCTCCTGAAGCTGGCCACCCACAGACCGTCACACCCACTGATCCAATTCTCCTTCCTCTATTAATTGGGTGTCAGGTGCTGTTGGATTGTTAATTATTGGCTTAAACCCAGTATTTTGCCCTCAAGGAGCCCAATGTCTGGCTTATTGGTTATTGGAACCACTGGGTTGGTTATTCACTTTTCCTTGCCTCTCAAGACAAATCTGAACTCCATCCAGGGACCTATATCTAGTGGCACTGGTAACTTAGGAAAATTTATAATTTTGTTTAAGAAAACTAGCAGCAAGAATAATATCCCTCATGAGGAAAGGAGGGGTTCTGGTTCCAAGGTGTCCCCTGGTCTTTCCTTCTTCTCACCCACATAATCTTCTCATCATGGGCCAGACAATAGGGTACTGCTCATTGCTGGAATCCTGGGCATGTGCCTTGACCTTCTCAGTCTTCCTTCAAGAGAAATGTTCCCATTTCACAAATGCAGCAAAACTGGTCTCCCAAATACCTGGGCTGCTGTTACTGTGAAGCAAAACTAAAAATACTGAAGATGGGGACTGGGGCTGGGGCTAAGCCATAGAGTGTTTGCCTAGCAACTTGCGAGGCCCTGAGTTCCATCTTCAACACCACAGAAAAATAAATGGATAGAATAAAAGTATTGGGTCCCACTCCAAATAGAAGAAATATTTTAAAAAGTAAATACTGAAAAGGCAATGTATCTAGCAATTAGGGAAATGCAAATTAAAACTGCACTGAGTTTCCCTTTCACTCCAGTCAGAATGACAATTATCAAGAATACAGTAAAAATAAATTGGTGAGAATGTGGGGGACAGGGAATGCTCACACCTTGTTACAGAAACTACACGTTGGTACAACCTCTGGGGAAAGCAGGTTGAAGATTCCTTAAGAAACTCGGACTGGAACCACGCTCTGACTCAGTCATCCTACTCCTCAGCATAAAGAGGATAAAATCAGCATACTACAGGGACACAGCCACATCAATGTTTATGATAGCACAACTCACAATAGCTAAGCTATGGAGCCAGCATAAATGCCCATCAGTAGATGAGTAGATAAAGGAATTGTGGTATATATACATGGTGGAATATTACTCAGCTTTAAAAAAGAATGACTTCATAACATTGGCCAGTAAATAAATAGATGTGGCGATTATCATTCTAAAGTAAAATAAGGCAATCCTCCCAAACCAAATGTCACATGTTTTCCCTGATATGTGATATCTACATCACATGCAATGGGGGGCACAAAGAGAAGTTCAGTATATTAGACAAAGGGGAACAACAGGAAGGGAGGGGAGGTAAGAAAAGGAAAGACAATAGCATGAATCAACCATAATGTTCCTATTTAAATATATGAAAATACCTAAGTGAATCGGTCCATCATGCAGACCCACACAAATGGGGTACTAAGGAGAATAAGGTATATAGGTATATTTTATGTATTAATAATTTTATCAAATTGACTCTATGGTAATGTATAACTAAAAAGGATGAATAAAACAGAAAAAAGATAAAAAGTACTTAAAAGGGCCATGGATCCAACTTGATAGAATCTTAGACAAATAAGGAAATGTCTTTAGGTACATTCCAGAATTTACTAAACCACCCCCCTATTGGATGCTCCCAAATGTGTTGGATTCTGGAGAAGCTGGAGGTTCAGGGCACTACATGGAGAAGATAGGAGCCCCCCATTCATCTGCAGGTGCAGGGGTTCCAGGGGGCAGGTAATCTCGAGGCCTCTATGATTAACAAAGTCAGAGAGGAGCCAGGTGCATTGGAATCTATAGAGTTATTTAACAAATTAGAAAAACCTGGAGTTGTCTTTCCAGGACTCCCAATCAAACACAAATTGTTATTCCTTAAAGATAGAGACCCTTGAGTCCCTCTTAAAGAGAAGTCTTCTGTGTATTATGTGACTTTTTGCACCACTGAATTGAGGGGACAAGACCAGAGCTGTCTTTGGAAACACATTGACTTTGTTTGCATCCAGACAAGCAGGTACGGTCTGTCTTTTTTGTTGTTTCTTTTTTTCTTGTCAAGTGCAGAGTATTCAGCTGATACTACGGATGCGCACCTGGGCAGGATGTCTCTGGTTTTTGAAGGAGGCAGGATCCCATTGCCTGGAATCCAGGGGACTGTCAGGAACCAGGGTGGCCTTGATATGTGTAAGGCTGTGTAAATCCTGTGGCCACTGCAGGTTTTAAAAAAAAAATTGGCACACGCCTGTCATTCCAGCGGCTAAGGAGGTGGGATGGCAAATTCAAAGCCAGCCTTAGCCAAAGCAAGGTGCTTAGCAACTCAGTGAGACCCTGTCTCTAAATAAACTTCAAGCTAAGGCTGGGGAAGGGGCTCAGAGGTCGAGGCCTCTGAATTCAACCCCCAGTTTGCCAGAGAGTGCAGGAGCCTCAGAGAAGCTGGGGTTTACCCAGGTCTGCTCTCTGGGGGTCTCTTCTGTGCTGATCGCCTTACTCATTCTCCAGCCACAAAATGGGCTCCAGATAGATTCAACTCAGCTGGAGGAACATGAGCTCTCACGCTGCCAATTGGGTGGTAAACTCCTTCAGGGCGACTGCAAGGCCCCCAGTGAGCCTCCACAAGCGCTGGCCATGATGCACTGGGCAGTTCCTACTGGGAGAAAGGACAGTTCTACTTGGAGAATTTTGCACATATAAACAGAGGACAAGTCAGCCTTTGAAGATGATTTGGGTGGTCTTATTATAGGAGGAGGTCCAGGTGATGAAACTTTCAAGAAATGACTTCAACTTCCTAACATTAAAACCCAACAGAATGTCCTGGACCCTAATCCAATGCCCAGACCTCAAAAAAAAAAAAAAAAAGAAAAGAAAGAAAAAAGCTACACCCAAACCCTGCCATTCTGGCCTCCTCCTTGCCTGGAGTAGATATCAGCCCGCTGTCACTCAAAAAGAGGGCTAGCTGGGCTGGAGGGGGGGCGGGGAAGAGCGGAGACTGAGTGACACGGGCCTCTGCGCGCAGTTTGGGATTTATTTCTTCGCAGTCCGAGGTTCCAGGACTCCTGCAGTTGGACTCCAGGCTTTGCTTCGTGCCGGGGATCCCCGGTGGCCCTACCATTCAGAGGCTGAAGCTCTCCAGGGCAGGCTTGGCTGCTGGGCACCAGGAGATGGTGAGTATGCAGTGGCAGCTGGTGTCTGGACAGGAAGGCTCAAGAGGGAGGAGGGGCAAGGAGACTGTCTGGCAGGACAGGATGTGGTGGGAACCTGAGCTGGCTGATTGTGAATCAGGGTACTCTCTGCCTACACAGGCCTAAGCCCATTGGGGACAGCGCCCCTCAGTCCCCCTGGCCAGCTGGGTGGGGAGCATGACAGTGGCGGAGACCCCTCTTGGCCTCCCCATCCCTTAGGTGCAACCTCAGCCCCTGGTCAGGTCCTATGTGGCAGGTGAGCACTGCTGCCTAGCGTCTTCCTGGGCTGTGGTTATTGACAGGTGGGACCACTGGGAGAATCCAATATCCAAGCCCCGGGATGGCGCACACCTGTCATCCTAGAGGCTGGGAGAGGGCGGGTTAGGCTGGAGGATTGGGAGGTCAAGGCCAACCTCTTCAAGTTGGCCAGGCACTTAGAGACTCAGTGTGACCCTGCCTCTAAATAAAATGCTAAACAGGTCTTGGTATGGAGCTCAGTGGTCAAGGTCCAATGAGTTCAGTGTCTGGTACTCAAAAATAAAAAAAGAACAATAATAAATCAAATCCCCAAACACCTGCAGGAGAGGAGCTGCAGTGTACAGAGAACTCAGTTATTCCTGAGCTAGTTTTGGGGAGTTTGTTTTATTGTTTTTGTTTGTTTGTTTGTTTGTTTTGTAGTTAACAGAAGGGTGCTTTACCATTCAGCCATGTCCCTGGTAGTTTTTAGTTTTTATTCTGCCTGCTGGTCTAGTTAATTTGCTGAGATTGGCCTTGTTATGGTTTAATTGATAATGACTATTCCGTTGCAATTAAGTGTATGATTTTCACTTCCACATGGGTTCGTGGGTGGACACTGTTGACGTCGTGATTCCTGGATGACAATTGTATCAGTATAGCTTCCCAATGCACATGTTGGATAATAACATTTTTTTGCTCTTATGATTCTTTGTTCTTATAATTCAAAATTTTCTTGGTTAAGTTTACATATATTTAACTTTGTAGATGAATTTTAGGACTGAATGCTTCCATTAAGAGTAAAGCATGCTGGATTGTTTATTAGTGCATCGGAGTTATACATAATACCACAAAATACATATGGCACCGTGTAAAACTTACCCATGGTATTTTATACCATTTTTTAATCTGAATATCCCATTTTCATTAATGTATTATCCTGTGAACTGATTTGAGTAAGTGCACTCCGGTTGGGGATTATCAAGTGTCTTTAATGGCAAAACAGTTTCCACAAATAGTTAAGAAGCACTTAAACTCTTTAAGTTTATGAGAATTCTATGGTCTCCTATCTTCATTGATACTATTTTATTTTCTCTCTGATAGGGTTTTAGTTTACATTTCTTGGGTTTCTAAAGATGTTGGTTTCTTTTATTCACATTATTAAACACACGGGTATCTCCTGTACAAATTGGCAGCTCAAGTCTCCTCCCTGAATACCTTCCGTGCTGGATTTCAGAGTGTTGGGACCATGAGAATCACCACTCTGTGGGCCCATTTCCTACCCAAGTGGGCTGGGATTGCAGGGGTCTCGCTCCTGAGGTTTTCTTTCTTTTGGTGGGGGGCATGGGGAGCATAGTGGATTGAACGCAGAGGTCCTTTCCCACAGAGCTACATCCCTCATACTTTTTATAATTTATCCTGAGACAGAGGCTGAGCCTGGCCTTGAACTTGAGTCTCAGCCTCCTGAGTGGCTGGGATTACAGGTGTGGCCCTCCTGCCTGAGTCCCCCTGAATGTTCTAAATGTAAGAGAAGCAAAGTGTCAGATCCACAACCCCATCTCCCAGACAAAACCTGTACACATGTATCAATGAATTCATCAAATTCCAGTCTCCTTTTCCCATTTCCAGTGACAGTTTTTCCTCCCCACTGTAATAAAATAAGAAGCAAAGGTTTTGTTTTCTGTTTATGAGCATTTCACAGGAGAGAAAAGTACAGCAAAAAATACTTGACATTTGAAAAAGTGTGTGTGTGTGTGTGTGTGTTTGTGTGTGTGTATTTGGGCATGTGTATTCTCCCTTTCTCTGCCAGGCCAGACACCTTGTCAGAGTGTCTTTGGGCTGAGTGTTCCCCCTGTTGACTGCATGTCCTAGGGGTCTCATGCCCTCTGTGATATTTTTCTGCTCCTTTTTTGGCTCGGCCTGAAATGAGGTTCCCACACCTAGCACATCTGAGGTCTCCTGAGCGTCTGGTAGATATCAGCCACCTGTTGACCTATGAGCAGGTGCATTTAGGGGAAGTAGTTTCTCAGCGGAGTAGGTGATGGCCCTGCAGCTGGGAGGAGTCTCCTTAGCCAGAGCCACTTCAGAAGTTCCCTCGTCCTGGCTCCTGTGAATCCTGGAACAGTGATGGGCATGCAGCCATTTATTAACACACTGGTTCAAGTTCCTCTGGGAATGCATCCAGAGTTGTTGTTGTTCTGTTAGCTTTTAAAGAACTCCATGCTGTTTTAAAAAATGGCTGAACTGAGCTTATATTCCAGCCCCATGTGAGCAGGTCTCTTTCTCCATATCCATGTCATTGGACGACTGGTTCCTTTGCCTTTTTGATAGGAGCCTTTTTCACATCTGCACTCAGACTGAGAAGCTGTCCTACTTGGTTGGGGGCTGAATTCCTGATGCAATTGGTTAGAACCCAGGCTGCCTGTGCTCACTGCAAGAAGGTGGTGTGAGCCTATTCTAAAAAGAAACAGGGAGCTATGCTTTTGCTTCCCTCCTGGGAGAGAGGATCATAGTCCAGGGACGTGCTTGCACACTAATGTGAAGCCCCTCCTTTCTGAGATATGCACATGCACATGCACAGTTGCCAATGCTCCCAAAGCTTGGTGGGTTAGGATGGAGTCCATGGAATGGGAAAAATGTTGGGACCCTTAGTGCCTGGAGATCCTTCTTCCAGAAAGAACTGGCTAGACCTGGAGTTATTACTGAGGTAGGGGGGAGAGGGCTCAGGCAGGGCTGCTGGGTGGACTGCATTTGTCCTATCTACCCTTAGGAACTGGCTAGGGAAAAGCTCAACTGTTAGCAACCACAGTTTGCAGATCATTTTGCAAATCCCTTCTATGGATAAACTGGGACCCTTGATCTTAGTCCCCTTCTGCCATTGTCCCATGGATAAAGCCCATGACCCTCCACAGCCATCGAAAATAACCCCCGTTCTGTCATCCTGATACTTGTGTATATCCAGCTCTTTCTTCTATGAGCACCAGACAAATTCTGTTTCCAGCTACAAGTCATTTCGTGTCCCATGTGCTCCATTTGTGACACCAATCAGTTTTTCTCTACTCTGGGTGACATTGGATTTTGGTATTCTGTCCCAATTATGTGGCACATTACTCAAGGCAGGACTAATGCCCACGTGTCCCCCAACTTTGCCTGCTCTTTGGATGGTAGAGATTTTCTGAGTGGGTAAATGCATAGGTCTCTCAGTCCATTATAACTTTATTTAAAAGGGACTCAAAACAGAAGTAAGTGTTTATTTGGTGTATCCATGTGTGAAGGAAATCCAGGAGCCTCCTATTCTGGTACAATTTTGAAACATAATCCTACTAAATATGTGCTTCTTTGGGATGCTGGAGTGTAATCCAGTACCACGCACGTCCTGCACCCAAGCACTACCAGTGCTCTGAGCCTCCAGTTCCCACACCACCCTTCACGTTGGGTTGTCTTGTTCATTCACATCAAATCCTCTGCTGGAGATGGTTGCATTTATCTAGGCCTTTTCATTGCACTTCATAATAAAAATGACATTTACATACATATGGAGTCATCTATGAAATTTCTGCATTGTTATTTTTCTTGGTCCTCAAATTACTGCAATATGATAATTTTATAACATGCATTAGTGCCTGGTAATGATGGCTCCTGCTTTTGCTTTTAGAGTTCAGAATTCTTGGCTATGTCATATCATTTCAACCTTCCAGGAGAATTTTCAAACTGTTTGCTTTGGTCTCTTCTTCAACGAAAAGGAAACCATGGTGAAATTTTGATGGGGTGTTATCATAGATGAACCTGAGGGAAGCCGTCCTGTTTATAATGAGGAGTCCTATCATCTATACCCAGGATGTGTAATTCAGTCTTCTATGTTCTTATCTAAATTTATATTTTTTTCAAATTCTGCAGATGTACTATTTAAGTATGCTTTTATGCAAAATGTGACATTTATGTGACAGCTATATAAAACTGACATGGTGTTTCATAATATTTGTCAAACTGTATGCAATATGGCAAACAAAATGTGGCTGATTGCAAGAAATGGTTATTTTCCATAGTTTATTATTTATCTATTACCAAATGGACATTCTCTGTCACCAGGCCCTGGGTCTCGACTCTGCAGGAGCGTGCTGTGTCTTTATATGAACAGGTGCTATAGTGTCCACATCTGTTTCTGTGGACCTTCATGATAACCCCACATGTTCTTCAACACTGTCTCAATTTGTGTTCATTGTGACTTTATAGTATAGTCCCTCCTTTCTAAAGACATTGATTGCTTTGTGATGAAGGGACATTTAGATACCTGCTATTTGAAGGAGCTGTTCACGGCTCTTGCCTGCGTTTCTCTCACAGCTCTGTTCTCCTTTCTTAGAAGAGTTTGACTAAAGGTGAGGCAATTTGTTTCTTTCATCTCTCACTTTTCCTTGTTCTCTTTAATGGAGTCATTTGAGGAATAGAATTTTTGTTTTCATATATACAATTTATAAATTTAAAAATATTTTTCTGTAACTTTAAAAATGACTTTTTTTCATTATTTATTTCCTTTTGTGAAATTGGGGATTGGAACCAGGGTGTCCTATTACTGAACAATATCCTCAGTCCTTTTAAAATTTTTATTTAAAAAAATTAATTTTTTCTTAATTTTTAAAAATTACTACTGCCTATTTATTTTTAAATTTAACCAGGGTTTCACTCACTTGCTAGGGTAAGCTTCACAATTGTGATCCCCCTGCCTCAGCCTTCAGATCACTTGATATATCGGTTATGTAGCACCAAATACATCCTATCTTAGTTAGTTTGTTTGTTTGTTTCTTTTTTTCTAGATGTTTATAAGATCATGATTTTTTTATGGTTTTTATTATTTTTTAAATACACCACAACTGTGGAATGTATTATAATTCTTATTTCACATAGAGCCCACTTTTTTATATTTATGTATGTAATGTATGTTTACATCAATTTATGCCATTATACATGTACTTTTTTGCATTACAACTCTTAATACACATATATATCACAATTTTTCATCTCTCTTTGTATATAAGTTATGTTGACACCCAATTCAAGTCTTCATACATGAACTTTGTATAAAGATGTCCATCACATTCCATCATCCTTGCTAATCCTCTATGTCCTCCCTTTCCTCTCAGCCCTATTTAGAATTCATCTATTCCTCCCATGCTCCCCCTCCCTAACCCACTATTAGTCAGCCTCCTTATATCAGAGAAAACATTCGGCATTTTTTTTTTGGGAAGGGAATTGGCTGACTTCACCTAGATTTATCTTCTCCAACTTCATCCATTTATGTGCAAGTGCCATGATTTTTTTTTTTAATTATGAGTAATATTCCATTGTGTACACAAGCCACATTTTTTTTATTCAGTATAGTGCTTTTGGTAATATGGTCATTTTCATAATATTAATTCTGCCTATTCAAGATCAATTTAAATCTTTTCATCTTCTAAGGTCTTTGATTTCTCTTTAGTGTTTCATAGTTTTCATTGTATAGATTCTTTACCTCTTGTTGATTCCCAAGTATCTTTTTTATTGAGGATATTGTGAATGGGGTAGTTTTTCTCATTTCTCTCTCAGAGGATTTGTCACTGATATACAGAAATGCCTTTGATTTATGGGTGTTGATTTTATATCCTGCTACTTTGCTGAATTCTAGTTCTAAAAGTTTTCTAGTGGAGCTTTTTGAGTCTTCTAGGTACAGAATCATATTATCAGCAAATAGTGCTAGTTTAAGTTCTTTTTTTCCTATACTTATTCCTTTAATTTTATTTATCTGTCTAATTGCTCTGGTCAGTGTTTCAAGAACTATATTGAATAGAAGTGTGAGAGAGGGCATTCCTGTCTTGTTTCCAATTATAGAGGGAATGCCTTCAGTTTTTCTCCATTTAGAATGATGTAGTCCTGAGGCTTGGAATAGAGAGCCTTAAAATGTTGAGGGAAGTTTCTGTTATCCCTAGTTTTTCTAGTGTTTTGAACATGAAGTGCTGCAGTCCGGCTGCAGCAGAATAATCTGGGGGTGACGAATAACTTTTTTACTTTGATACAGCAGAAATGGGAGCCTTTTATTGTAGGACAACAGAGCTATTTATACATTTTGCACAGTTTATCTTAATTAGCATAAACTAGATACATCAGTCAACAAATAAGGAATCTCCACACTTAATGGCTCGCCTTTGTTACTTCTCAAACCACTCCCTCTGGCATTTTGCAAGGCACCATCCAGACTTGTTTATGAACTCTAACATTTCTCTGACAAAATACCAGGTGTTATTTTGACTTGTTTACAGACCTTAACATTTCCCCCTTTTGTTTAATTTAAATAACAACCATAATGGTTTTTACATAAACACCATAAATAACCTGCTACAAACAGAAAGTGAGGATACAAAATGCCACAATACCAAGCCAATTGACGGCTCCATGCAAGAAGCCCTTGGAAAAATTATACCAGCAATGACACCATTAGCAAAGATACGGAGTTACAATTTGTTGAAGATTACAGTTTGTTGTCTCAGTCCAGGTAAAGCAGTCTATCAACAGATTAACTCACAGTCCAGGTCAATCACAGTCCAGGTCTGTAGGCAGCTAGCTTGATCCGAAGTCTCGTCCATTTCTCAGCCAAAGTTTCGTCCAGTTTTCAGCAACACTGGAAATTCTTCCACCCTAGTTTTCACTGGCACTGGGATGAAGGCAGGAACTCTGCAATGCTGGTGAAAGAAACTCTTGTAGCATTCCACTAAGAAAACAACCTTCTGAACAATTTAGTACATTATCTCAAGGTTTTTTACATTTGAAATAAGCCTTAATAGTGCTCATTACTCATTAGCTTTCAGGTGTGGGAGAACCATTGTAGCTTAGTTATTGGCACTGAAAATGACCAAACATCAGGGACACTGGTAGTGTCTTCTGCCAGCTGTAGCATCCTGGGCAGCCCCAGATGGCCCTGGGGAGAGTCCGGGCGTGTCCCGGACTCAAACTGCATCCCGGCACAGGTTTGGATTTGGGCTCTCACAGTGGCGTCCTGCTCCCCCAGTGGGGGGGCAGGGAAGAACCAGCTGCCGCAGCTTGGAAACTCCTTACTGCACCATGATTCGCCGCACCGATTCACGCACACTCCCTTAATGAAAAGTATTTAGTAATAGCCTTTTGCTGCAACTTTTTTCCTGATAATCCTTCTTCTTCTGAACTTTCTTTTTCTTTCTGATTAGAGTTCCTGGGCTCTTATCAACACATGCCCTAATTATTCTTGGTTCCACTGGGGTGTCTCTTTCCCTTATCAATTTACTTCTCACCCCTTTTATATTTTCATCATAAAGACTATACAATACACTTAGACAAAACAAGACACAAACATACTGTATCAATCTCCATTTTTTCGAAATGACCATTTTTCCTCTCGCCCTATCTGTCTAGGGACGAGCAGATTTCTCCAGTCCTATCTATGGACGGGCAGCTTTTTTTCGTCACTTACCCCCGAGTTTCCCGGGGCTCCCCATAACGGGCCACCATCTGCCGGGGAGTGGAGAATAACTTCTGTACTTTGATACAGCAGGAATGGGAGCTGTTTATTGTAGGACAACAGAGCTATTTATACATTTTGCACAGCTTATCTTAATTAGCATAAACTAGATACATCAGTCAACCAATAAGGAATCTCCACACTTAATGGCTCGCTTTTGTTACTTCTCGAACCAATCCCTCTGGCATTTTGAGAGGCACCATCCAGACTTGTTTAGGAACTCTAAAATTTCTCTGGCAAAATACCAGGTGTTATTTTGACTTGTTTACAGACCTTAACAATGAAGGGGTGCTGTATTTTGTCAAATGCTTTTTTTGCATTTGTTAAGATGATCATAAGGTTCCTATCTTTAAATCTACTGATGTGATGAATTACATTTATTGTTATCTGTATGTTGAACAAATCTTGCTTCCTTGGGATGAATTGCACTTCATCAATGAACCATCTTTTTGATATGTCTTTGTATTTTATTTGCCAGAATTTTAATCAGAATTTTTGCTTATGCTTTTTAGCGGTATTGGTCTGAAGTACACTTTCTTTTCTGTGTTTGTCTGACTTTAGAATGAAGGAGATATTGGACTTATAGAGTGAGTTAGGAAGTGCTCCCTCTTTTAATATTTCATGTAATAATTTGAGGAGTATGGGCATTAGTTCCTCTTTGAAGGTCTTGTATCCATTGCGTCCTGGGATTTATTTATTTATTTATTTTTGGTTGGTAGGCTTTGATGGTGTCTTCTCTTTTATTGCTTTAAAATGATCTGTTTAACTTACTCAGTTTGGGTAAGTCACATGATTCTAGACATTTGTTGATGACTTCAATATTTTCTGTATTATTGCAGTTCAAATTTTCAAAATAATTTCTAATTATCTTCTTTATTTCTTTTGTGTTCATGGTAATATTTCCTTTTTCATAATGGATTTTAGGAATTGGAGTATTTCTCTCCTTCTCTACAGTAGCATGAATAAGGTTTTATCAAATGTATTTGTTTTTCAAAGAGTCAACGTTTCATTTTGAAAATTTTTTAAAAAAATTAAAAATATATGGCAGCGGAATATATTACAATTCTTATTACACATACAGCACAATTTTTCGTATCTCTGTATATAAAGTAGGTTGACATCAGTTCGTGTGTTCATACGTGTACTTTGGATAATGATGTCTATTGTATTCCACCATCCTTGCTAATCCCTTTCCCCTACCTATTTCTCCCACCACACTGCCCTAAATAGAATTCATCTATTTCTCCCATGCTCAACCTCCCTACCCCACTATGAATCAGCCTCCTTATATCAGAGAAAACATTCAGCATTTGTTATTTTGGGTTTGGCTAACTTTACTTAGCATTATCTTCTCCAATTCCATCCATTTACCTGCAAATGCCATGATTTTATTTTCTTTTATTGCTGAGTAATATTCCATTGTGTAAAAATGCCACGTTTTCTTTATCCATTCATCCACTGAAGGCATCTATGTTGGTTCCACAGATTAACTCTTGTGAATTGTGCTGTTAAAAACATTGTGACTGTGTCCCTGTAGTATGCTGTTTTTAAGTATTTTTGAGTATAGACCAGGAAGATGGAAAGCTGGATCAAATGGTGGTACCATTACCAGTCACTTTGTCAATTTCTATTTGCTTCTTTTGTTCCAATTTCATTGATCTCAGCTCTGATTTTAATTCTTTTCTGTCCTTTACTGCTTTTGGTGTTGATTAATTTTTTTTCCTAGGGCTTTGAGATGTAATTTTACGTCATTTATTTGACTTTTTCTTTTTTTAAGGAATGAACTCCATGCAATAAACTTTTCTCTTAGTAATGCCTTCATAGTGTCCCAAAGATTTTTATATGTTGTATCTGAGTCCTCATTCACCTCTAAGAATTTTTAAATCTCCTCTTTGATGTTTTCTGAAACCCATTGTTCATTCACTAGAATATTATTTAGTCTCCAGGTATAGGACTAGATTAATTTTTATCATTAATTTCTAATTTTGTTCCATTATGATCTGATAGAATGCAGGGTAGTATCCTTACTTTTCTGTATTGCTTAGATTTCCTTTTTGGCATGACATATGGTCTATTTTAGAGAAGAATACATTTGCTGCTGAGAAGAAAGTCTCTTTGCCTGTTGAAGGATGAAATAGTCTATGTATGTCAGTTAAATCAAAGTTATTGATTGTATTATGAGTTCTATAGTTTCTGTCTGGATATTGTTTGGAATATGTATCCAGTGGTAAAAGAGGTTTGTTAAAGTCACCCAGAATTATTGTCTTGTGGTCTACATTGCCCTTAAAGTTGAGAAGAATATGTTTGAATATAGATGCTCCATTGTTTTGGGGGTGTGTATATTTATAATTGTTCTGTCTTGTTGGTGTATGGTTTCTTTAAGCAGTATGTAGTGTCCTTCTTTATCTCTTTTGATTAACTTTCACTTTATGTCCACATTATTTGATATAAGAATGGAAACCTCTACTTCCTCCACACTCCATGTGAGTGGTAGTATGTGTTTTAAAGTTTATTTTTTATATATGGACACAGTACCTATATTATTTAGTTTTATGTGGTTATGAGGATCAAATACAGGGTCACACATGTACTAGGCCAGTGCTCTACCACTGAGCCCTAGCCCCAGCCTGAGTGATAGATTTTTTTTCAACCTGTCACCATAGGTGTGTGGGTGTCTTTTTCTATGATATGAGTCTCTTGGAGGCAGCATATTGTTAGTCTTTTTTAATCCAATGTGCATGTCTTTTGATTGCTGAGTTGGAACTAAACTTTCAGGGTTATTATTGAGACAACATTTGTATTCCCAGTTATTTTTGTTTATTTTTGGTATTTAACTAAGTCAATTTCTCTTTGATGGGTTTTTCCTATAGAGTGATACTACCCTTTTCTAATTTTTTATTCTTGTTCATTTTCTCCTCATGAAATATTTTGCCAAGGGTTTTCTGTAGTGCAGGTTTCTGTTTGTAAATTCTTTTCATTTTGGGTATGATGGAAGGTTTTTATTTTGTCATAAAATAACATCTGAATCAAAATCTAATTGCTAATCAAAATTTAATTTTGCTGGGTGTGCTTCTTGGTTGGCATCCATTTCTTTCAGAGCTTGGTTTATATTGTTGAAGGATCTTGTAGATTTCAGGGTCTCAGTTCAGAAATCAGAGATCCTGATTGGTTTTCCCCATATGTAACTTGATTTCTTTTTCTTGTGGCTTTTGAAATGCTCTGCTCCTTTTGTATGCTAGATATTTTCATTATGATGTGTGTTGATGTAGTCCTGTAGTGATCTTGTTCATTTGGTGTCCTATTTGATCCTTATATTTGATTTCCCAATTCACTCTACATGTTTGGGAATTTTTCTGGTATTATTTCACTGAATAGATTGTCCATTTCTGTAGTTTAGACCTCTATGCTTTCATCTATCCCAATAGTTGTTAAATTTGGTCTTTTCATATTATCTCACAATTCTTGAATCTTCTGCTCATGGTTTCTTACCATCTTCACTGGGGTCAACTTTATTTTTCCAAGATTATATATTTTGCCTTCAATGTCAGAGATTCTGTTTTCCAAGTGATCTATTGTGTTGGAGATGCTTCCTATTTAGTTCTTAATTTGATTTACTCTTTCCTTAATTTCAAGGATCTCTGTTTTGTTTTTTTTTTCAAAATCTCTATCTCCTTATTGAAGGAATCTTTTGCTTTCTGTATTTGCTTATGTAGCTCTTTATCAAAATGATTCTTTGCTGCCTGTATTTGCTCTCATATCATCCTTTAATTCACAGAAAATTTTGTACATTCTCCCATTTATCCTGCTATTCTGAGCATGGATTCTAATAATTTATCATCTTTTTATGGGGTACATTCTTTCTTGGTTTCTCATGTTGTTCATTCATCTTCCCTTCCAGCTCTGTGTTTTTAAAATATATAGCCATGTTGGCTTAGAGTGTTTCCAAAGGGTTGCAATAACGTTCTTTTTAAAAAAATTATTTATTTTTTTAAATACACAACAATAGTGGAATGCATTACAATTCTTATTACAGACATAGAGCACAATTTTTTGTATTTCTGTATAAAAAGTATATTCATGCTAATTTATGCGATTATATATGTACTCATTTCTTTCTGCAATACAAATCTTAATACACATATATATCACAATTTTTCATATCTCTGGTTGTATATAAGGTATGTTGGCACCAATTTGTGTCTTCATACATGTACTTTGGATAATGATGTAATCACATTCCACAATCACTGCTAATCCCCTGCCTCTTTTTCTCCCCTCCAACCCCTCTGCCCTATGTAGAATTCATCTATTTCTCCTATGCCCCCCCTCCCTACCCCACGATAGTAAGCCTTTTTATATCAGAGAAAACACTTAACATTTATTTTTTTGGTTTGACTAACTTCACTTCTCCAATACCATCCATTTACGTGCAATTGCCATGATTTTATTATTGCTGAGTAAAATTGCATTGTGTATATATGCCCCATATTTTTATCCATTCATCCACTGAAGGGTATTTGGGTTGGCTCTACAGTTTGCTATTCTGCGTTGTGCTGCCATTAACATTGACATGGCTGTGACCCTGTAGTATGCTGTTTCAAGT